TCACCCCTCACACCTCTACTTCTTTCACCACCATCTATTTTTCCTTCCACTACCCCCTTATGCCTCTCGAGTTTCTCTACGACTGATCAAGTTTCTCTTCGACTCTTGATTGTCTTTGCATGATTTCAAATTGGATTTTTTTGATATCAGCCAATTCAGACATCAAAATGTCGAAGTTACCTGTTTTGCTTCACCGTCGTCCCACTCACCTTCATCCCCCAATACAATCATCCCTCCTTCTTCTCCTCTGCCTCCACTGCCTCCTCTACATCCTTGCCAATAACCTTCAAAAAATTAAATTACAATATTAAGACATTGATTATATTCTTAATATTTAATTACATTTATTACCATTTCTTGCTTCTTCCCTCTATCCAACTTCAACTTCACCATCACTCTAACCACCTCTTCCTTCCCCCATGCACGGATGCGTGCCACTCCGGTTCTTTCATAAGCCGGCACTGCCTCACAGCCCGACCAAAAATCGAACAGTGCAACCTGCATTTAAATAAAATTAGAATTTTTATATAAAAACACAAAAAAGTGATTCAACTCATTTACCTCTAATTGCTATGCACCCTTTGAGTATCTCTGGCTGCCCTTTTTAAAGACGTGATCACCCGTTGGACAAAGAAATATATACCGACAAGGTACAATAGAACTCGGGCCTTCAGCTCATCCCCAAGTAAGATCCACTTTTGATATCCTCTTCAACTTCAGTATATGTCACCTTATGATTCAAACCATATTTGGAGGCAAGTGCTTTCCAGTTCTTACTCCTACAGACTTCTATAACACTTTTGCCTTTGTTTTGTACCCCCAATACGGCTGCAGCAGTCGATACCCCCAGAGGGAATGAATAATCACCATACTTAGCCATACATTGACTGACGTCAAATTGTGCCATCAAGGATCGACACAATTCCCTCCGAATAGGTCGATCCCTTACTCCGATCAACGATCCAAAACCTATTTCTCCCAGCACATTCAACTGACCCTTCTCCTTAAGGTGTTTAATTAATAATTCACCCTTTTAATGCGCATCTTGTCGAAACTTCCTACATTTTTTAACAATATAATGTTATAGTTCTTATATATTTTGTATCAACGTATTTACAAGTTAATGAATACCTTATTTTCATGTGCTTTCCTCCGTTCTTTGTATTCTTTACTATCATCCTTGACTGTGTGATGTAAGGTTCCTTTTCAGCATCACTCATTGAATTCCATTTGGACCTCACATCTTTTTTCACCTAATATTAAACATAAACGTTCTTAATCAATACATTAACACTAAATACTAATACTACTCAATGTCAATTTCATTTTACATACCGAACGCTCTGTGTGCCATCTCCCTTCATCCTTTTGCATTCGGCCATACTGTTAACATTTAAAATTTGTAATCAATTTAAAGTTTATCGATACTTTAATCCAATTACCATTTCAACAATAATAACAAAAAGACATTGATACTTACTAGAAGTACATATATCCACCCTTTGGTTGCTTTCGAGTCTCGGCCTCAATTCAAAGTCATCTGCTCCACCAACAATTTTCCAACCCATTGACTCCATTTTTCCTTCTATATCAGTTTACGCAAATCAAATTATTTTGTTACATACACTTTTCAATATACAAATATAGATAACTACTCTTGTGGTAAAACGGTTTTCTTCAAAAGAATTTGAATGGCCACACCAAAATGTGTCGGCACATTTATACAACCTATAATATCATTTTCTACCTATAATATTTAATAAAAGTATCGACATTTATCGTTTTCCTTGAATATCTATTTCTACCTGCAATCGGTCCCAAATGCTTCCTTACTCCAAAACCCCAAACAACACATAAAAAACCCTATCGCGATTACTGTAATAATAAAAAATTAGGGTTTCGACAACATACTTTTCGATTCGACTGCAGCAACAAACAAACAAACTTCGCTTTAGAAACGCCTTCTGAAATGCAGCAACAATTACTCTTCGATTTCAAAAACTCGTCCGTTCTATCTATTTTCAGAGGATATTTAGCTTATATTTCATCGGATATGTTATTTATATTTAATCGATACAAATACAAAAGTGTCGATACTTTATGTCAGGTGTCGATACTTTCGAAAGGATAATTACCTATTTCTTTGAAAGTGTCGATAATTTATTACACGTACTTACGAAAGTATCGACACTTTCAATATATCCGGTATCATTTTACCGTTTTTATCATTTGATACCGGTTTTATCATATTTTTACCTGTTATATCGTTTTGGATCGATATTTTTTTTTAAAGTACGACACATTATAGGCGCTATAACTGCTTCTCTTTTAAATTCACAAAGTGTCGATCCTTATATAACGTATCGACACTTTTAATTTTACCGGTTTTATCATTTTGTTACCGGTTTTATCATATTTTTACCTGGTATATCGTTTTGGATCGATATATTTCTTAAAAGTATCGACACTTTTAGGATTTAAAACTGCTTTTAAAGTTATGTAATTTATGTTTCAATTTATTTAATAGTGTTTTATGTTTTCCACCTACAATATTAATTTAATAATTTAATTTACACAAAATTTTATTTGATTGTTTTGATATTTTATAAAATATTATTTAGAATTTAAATTTAACAATATTAACCAAATATAATAATAAATATGTTTTCAACAGTGAAATAAGTATGGACACTTTTATAAAAATGATATATACTTTTTTGAAAGTTATGTAATTTATGTTTCAATTTTTTAATAGTGTTCATGTTTTCCACCTACAATATTAATTTAATAATTTCATTTACACAAAAAATTATTTGATTGTTTTGATATTTTATAAAATATTATTTAGATTTTAAATTTAACAATATTAACTAAAGATAATAATAATATTTTCACAGTGAAATAAGTATGGACACTTTTATAAAAAGGATAGATAATTTACAATAACAGGTAAAAATATGACAAAACCAGATTCATTATGACAAAACCGGTAAAATTTACTTGATATGTTAAAAGTATGGACACTTTTATAAAAAGGATAGATACTTACCGATAACCAAAGTTTACCGGTTACCAAATTTTTTAATAGTTTTTCATATTTTCTACCTAAAACATTATTAGTTGTCAACATAATAGGTACCGCTAAACCGAATTTATTAAATACATTTTAATGTATCCGGTAATGCTGTATATTAACCGTATATTAACCCGCCTTTCCTGAGACATTCCCTGATGCATTACAGTTGTACTATTTGCAATATTATTGTAATTTTATGCAGTAGGTGCTCCTAGTTCAGGTTGCGTGCTGTACGAAAGCCGTAAATAAAATAAAATAAAATAAAAATGTCGAAATGGCAGAAAGAGAAAAGAAAATCCTGCACAGACCAAAGGCGAGTCAATTAAAAGCATTTGGATATAGAAAAAGCTAAGTTCAGTGCTTGGAGTTGGAAATTTACAGTGTGGATCTCTTGGTTTCTCGTCAGAAAGTGAGGTGCACCAGGCAAAGCTATTATTTATCCTTGGGGTCTCTCCAGAAAAGCAGCATTAGCACACAACGTTGTATAATCCACAGCCTTGCTCGCTTCTGGTTTAAGATCCTACTCCTCTGTAACTCAACCTTGCCTTGTTTCCTCACTGGAAATGCAATGCATCCTGTTGCCATGAACGAGTTTTCGTTCTCTGTAATGCTTTTTTCGAATTGCCAGAGACTAGAAAGGAACCAAGTGCAGTTATCCTAATATCTGGCATGAACAAAATACATATTAGAATTGAGGAAGTTACAAAGGTTGGTTACAATATTTTGTCTCCTGGTGCTGTAGTTCATTGTATGTTTATTAAATCTTTACGACTTGGAGACCATGGTCGTCCTTGGAAACTCCACTACACACCATGAAACCAGATTTCTGCTATCAAAAGCAGTGGTTTACTACATTGGCATAAATTCGATGATGGAATCTATTTCCCGGGCAAACCAAGCCAGGTGTTTTTCTACTGTTGGGGCACCTTGAAGCCTGTTTGTCTTTATTTTAGGAATCTTATGTGTCAACCTGTAGGTCCAGTGTAAATATATATTGGAAACTGATGAACAATTGTAGGAATCTTATCTATTGTTTTTTAAACAAACTATAATTTGATTGTTTGTGTGGCATTTAGGGGTTTGGTTTATGCATTACCACTTAGACATAGACCAGTCATGGGGATTAGGTGCTGCGTTGATAGTGGAGAATGGAAAAGGATAGCTCGAGACCTCGCCTCATCCTCAAGCAGACCTGCCTCGCTGCTAGAGCCCCTTGTGTTGAAAATTTCAATCGATATTTCTCACCTGCAACTGTGTTATATATGGCTACTCCATTTCTTTAGTATGGAAGTGAAGATTGGAGGAATAAAACCCCAAATTTCTTTTCCCTTCAATTACCGCATCGAGCACATTTTCTTGCTTTGGCTATTTGGTTTATCAGATTTCAGTCTCCTTTATGCAAATTATATTCTTTTGCTTCTTCCATCACTATGAGTATATATATGCAAATTCATTGTTTATGAAGAAAACTTAGAAAAAAAACTATCAGCAAATGGGGTTCCTTTCTTCCAGTGAAAGGAATGGCATGTCACCTGAAAATATGACCAATGCCGGTTTAGATGACAATTAAGCAGAATGTTCATGTTCTGTAAATTAATAGAAAAGTTGGAAGAACGAACGCAAAAGAAAAAAACAAAACAAAAAACAAAAAACCAAAACAAAAAATGAAAGAATGAAGGAATTGTACAACGAACTGAGAGAGGTTGACGATGGTCCAAGCCATGCCAGGAGACCAACCAAAGATGGAGGGAACAAGGAGCCAAGGGAAGAAGAGGATTAGAATATATATAGTTCATACACCAGCTAATGCATTTGGTAGAATTAATCTCTTCCATTGAATTTCTGTCAATTACCTTTTCAAAAACCATATTTGTAGGAGCCGGAAGAAGAAACAAATAAACCTAACAATGCATTTTAACAAGCAACCACTGTCCCTGATTTCATTATTTCTTTGTTAAAAGTTGTTTCTGAATACACAGCTTAAACTGCTAGAAAACGATGATAAGTTCTGAGTTAAGACAGAGAAAGACTCGATCGCATGGTGAGTTCAATCAAATATTACACCATGTTACAATGTCATGAGTCGTCGGTTAGAAGCCCCCTTTCCCTGAGCTGCTTCATCATGGGGTGCTGCCCAGCCGAGGTTCACAGCCAAATCTTCCACGGCAACCTTTATCACGTCGCTTCGAACACCTACATCGGTTGCATACCTGCTCATACAGTACATTCCTGCTGTAACCGTTGCCACGCCTACAGGACTTGGCATCAACAGCTTTAGTGGAGAAGAAAGGAGAGCAGCTAAGGGGGCACCGATCACCGATGAAGCCTGACCGCTTCTTCCGACCCCAAGCTTCTCCATGATCAGAAGACCGGTTTTGCAATACAGCGCAAAGTCCTCACAGTTATTCTTGAATATGTCATAGTTTCCAAATCCGTTTTGAAGAAGATACATTGCTCGGTGGATAACCGTTTCAGGAGGGTCAGACACTGCTGTGGTGCATGTGCCTCCACGCACTTTGGCAAGGAAAACCGATGGGGTCACACCGTACTCGAAGCAGTAGAGAGAACCGTTTCGAAGGAAGCAATCCAGGCATGAGAGAACTACTCCACTGTTTGGCTGCCGGAAGCCGCAATCGGGAAAGATTGGACAAGCTGATTGAGGGGATATAGGATCATATAGCTCAGAAGATGACTCAATGCTGGAATCCAAGTTTCTTTCAGGTCTAAAGTGAACCACCTTGCTTCCACCAACAAAGACGCCTACATGGTTTGGCATCCAACGAATTCAACAACAACGTCGATCTTAATTCAACTAGAAGGAACCACTTAATATATTGTCTATGTTCTGTTTTCATTAACTTAATTATATCCTTGACACATTGCAGATGCATTCAAACTATGTGGAATGATTCTGAAGCCAAAAGAACATAATAATTCACATGAGATCAGTCATCAGTCTTACCACCAACAAGATGAATATCAATAGGATCCGCTCATATCAGCAAAAATTTCAACTTTTTACACAGTTAAGATCAATATGAGAAATAGAAAATACCCACTAAATCTTTCTGCTAAAGTTATCAGAACCGGGATTGAAACGTCGATAACAATGCCGATTCCTAACAACAAGAGGGAAGAGAGTGAAAAACATCTAGTAGTTTTCAAATAACTTTGGAAGGCTAAGAATTCTACACTTCAAAAGTTCGGGTAAATGAACTTCTTCATACTGACATGAAAATTGTCAGATTTTCCACAATGCAGCTATCAAGCAACTACTTAAACCCCATAAACCCCTTTATGGAACACTTTGCATATCAAACTGGATCAAGAAAAATCCTGATCCAAAAGAAGATTTCAAAAAGAAACTGCTAAAGATAACACTCTCCAGCAGCATAAGAGACTACCTAAGAACAATGAAATTTGGAACCACTGTTCTCCAATCACCAGATCTAACGAGGAATGAGAGGGATTTTTCTTCTGAATTTTCTTACGCCACGTTTCGTATTCAAAGGGAAAATTTATCAGCACAAACAGTCAAAAGACCCAGAAACAAGACATGCAAAGGGTATCACGGAAAATGATCAAACATCAGTCAAGTTTACAAGAAAAAACGCAGAGAAACAGAGATAAATGTACAAATCAGAATGCAAATTGAGGTCTAAGGCGGAGAGAAAAGATACCATGGTGAGAGTAGGTGAAAACAGCTCTGTAAGTGTAAATATGGTCTCCTGGTTTGATCTCATTCCTCTCTACCTTGTTTGAAAGCAGACCCATTTTCACCCTCTTACTCTTCCCCTTGCCTTCCCTGCTTCTTCTTCTTCACTGTTTCTGACAGCCTGGCTTAATCACGGTAGATCCCACATAATCAAAGCCTTTGTTCCCAGCATTGTGGCTTAATCTTATTGGCTCACCGAATCAAGACCATATATCGGTTCATTTCGTATTTATTTCTCATTTTTTTATAAGGTCACCATCGTTGCTCCACACAATGGAATAACAATAAGAGAAAATAAATAGAGTGACAAAAAATCTCATATAATATACGATTTTGATTAATTTTTTTGAATTTATCAAAATGATCAACAAAATCGTAATGTGATTTCTAATTCGCAACGCGATCTCCAGTATCGTAAATTCGCGTTGTATTTCGCGTTGCGATAGTCTACAGTGTCGTTGTGATTTTCCTTAAAAATGGTATTGCATTTGTTTCTTAAGAATTTTCTCTAAAAAAATAATATCCGCGTGGACGTGTTGAAGATACGTATTACCACGACCACGACCACGACCACGACCCCGACCCGACCCGACCCGAGACGAGACGGCTGCGGCGGCGGCGCTCGAGAGTCTCACTTGTTCTCTTTCACTCAACAAGGAAGTGCAAAATCCAAACCTTAAATATCATTCTCAATAGTGTTTCCAAAACTATATGGGATTGAACATTACCAACACTTAGATAATATAGTATATTTATACAATGTTCAGCTCATTAATATGGTGAATCTTATAGTAGTTTCAGCTTTTTATACATTCAAAGATAAGCCAAATTATATATATTTAGTCTTTGCATTTTATTCGACTTAAATAATTACGTGTTGATATATAAAAAGATAGTGAGATCGAGATAATTTGTTTAATGAATTATGTTGTACAATGATTAGACTTAAGAGTGGAGAGAGGATGGTGAGGTGCTTGAAGGAGAGGTAGTGATTAGTAATTGAGTGAGACTAATGATCCTGAATGTTATGTTTGATGATCTTTTAAAATATTTAAAGAGACTCTATTATCTATGAATTGATAAAATAATTTATGAGTTGAACATTGTATAAATATTTCTTCCTGATAGATTTTCTTATGTGATATAGTTTGATATGATACTGTAAGATCCGTGATATTACTATTGGGAATGCTCAATCCTATATAGTTTTGGAAATAATATTGGGAATGATATTTAAGGTTTGGATTTTGCACTTCCTTGTTGAGTGAAAGAGAACAAGGGGACTCTCGCGCGCCGCCGCCGCCGCCGTCTTGTCTCGGGTCGGGTCGTGGTCGTGGTCGTGGTAATACGTGTCTTCAACACGTCCGCGCGGATACTATATTTTTAGAAAAAATTCTTAAGAAACAAATGCAATACCATTTTTAAAACTATCGCAACGCGAAATGGAAAATCGCAACGACACTGTAGACTATCGCAACGCGAAATGGAAAATCGCAACGACATTGTAGACTATCGCAACACGAAATAGAAAACCGCAACGACACTGTAGACTATCGCAACGCGAAATGGAAAACCGCAACGCGAAATGGAAAACCGCAACGCGATTTTCAACTATCGCAACGCGAAATGCAGCGCGAATTTGCGATACTAGAGATCGCGTTGCGAATTAGAAATCGCATTACGATTTTGTTGGTCATTTTGACAAATCCAAAACAAATTGATCAAAATCGTATATTATATGAGATTTTTAGTCACTGAAATTATTTTCTATAACAATAATGATCAACAACTCCCTCTTGCTTTATTTTTCTAGTGTCGACTAGGATAGGACAACTTTGGGGTTTAAACCCTTCATTATGAGGCATCAATAAAGGGGGACGGACGGGCCATCTTCTTAACGTTTTTTTATCAAATGACATTCTAAGTCATTATTAGTATAAATTTAAGTAAAATTAGATTTTTAATTTTTTACAATTTTTTTAAATATTAAATATATAATAAATTTTTATTACTCTAAACTTAAATATCTTATTCCTTTTAATATTTGATCTTGGCTCGTCTCTAGTAATGAAGTTTATAAAACTAAGGCTGTAAGCATGTTTCTGGGCCAAAGACGACAGTCAAAGGTAATGGGTTGCCATTGCCCTGGGAAAAAGACAAGGAAACGACCAATGGCTTTGGATTCCTTGATAACTTTCCTTCAACCCTTTTCCTTTTCCAACCTTACATTTTGGATTCAATCAATTGGGATTCGAATAAGTGTGTATGAATTATTAATAATTTAAGAAAATATATAAATAAATATTATCTTGTAATCCCTCCATACTATTAAAAAATAAATTTTCTAACATCCCCTTCTCCCTGGTTCCCAACAAAATGTCCCATTCTTTATAAGAAAAACCACTTGAAGTTCCAAAATGTAAAAACAAGAAATTATCTATTGTGGACAAATGACAAGCAGCCACACTATCTTCATACAACCTCATCTTCAGAGTACAAGGATGCATCAAAAGCTGGAAACTGTTGGAATTACATGAAGATTGGATATTTTCTAATCCTGCATATAGAGTTGAATAAGTGTTATTTTCTTTACCAAATGATATAGTTATAATAATTCAAGACAGCTAGTCTTCTGACCACAAACTTTGATATCAAATGTAGCATTTAGTAGCTTGTCTCTATTCAGAAGCTCTCAAATCTTCGAACAAACAAAAAGCTCAGAAATCAGCGGTTGGTTCGAACATGCAACCTATGCATTGCCTCTAAAAGCTATTATTTCTGTGTCAAGCAATGCTCTAACATCACCTGGTAATGGTATTTACTTGAATCTTAACATCATGTACTATGTTTTCTGAAATCTTAACATCATGTAATCAGAGCATGGAAGAACATCTCTCCTATCATGCTTAATATTATAAGAAAAATAGAACACGGTACATAAACTCAGAATATACAGAGAAGGGACTAGTTGCTGTTGCCAAAAAAATATAGGTAAAATATGTTGAAAATTCAATATTAGCCTATATGTTCACACCTAAATTAATTTTGATGTCATTGCTTACATCAATTTAGTTTTGATGTCATTGCTTACATCAATTTAGTTAGGTGAAAATTAAGTATTTTTCTCATGTTTTAATTTCAATGGTTTAGATTATTTAGTGTTTATTTTAATGAGTGGTTTAGATTGTTTCTTGTAACCTATAAATACCCTACTTGTATTTGAGTTTTATCATCCAACAATCAAAGCTTAATTATAAGCATTTGAAAGCTTTCTTAAGAGTTCTTCCCTTTTGCAATTTTGTGAGATTATTCTAAAGAGAGTTTTTTTTTTTTGATCAATTAGAGTTTTTACTCTATTTTGATTCAACAATTGGTATTCGAGCCACGTTTTTTAAGATCTCTTGAAATTCTGAGTATGCTCTGTGGCTGCAGTTTTTAACTGATCTTCCACATCAGAAAATATTTCTTGAGTTATTGTCGAGGTTATTACAAACCTTGTGGAGCTTCTTTGTGTTTAGAGTAATTTAGTACTCTGCACGTTTGTTACTCAAGCTTGTTCGGTGTAGTCAAAGCCTTGCCGTTAAGATGGGTGATCTTCAAGTAGTTGGAGGAATCAAGAAGCTCAACAACAAAAACTACAACACGTGGGCAACATGTATGGAGTCATACTTACAAGGTCAAGACCTTTGGGAGGTTGTCGGTGGTGGTGAAGTTACACAACCGGCGACAGAAGATGCCAATGGAATCTTGCGAAAGTGGAAAATTAAAGCAGACAAAGCAATGTTTGCTTTAAAGACCACAATTGAAGAAGAAATGTTGGAGCACATCCGGGATGCTAAAACACCAAAGGAAGCATGGGACACTTTTGTTACACTCTTTTCGAAGAGGAACGATACAAAATTGCAACTTCTCGAGAATGAACTTCTATCAATGGCGCAACGCGACATGGCGGTTGCCCAATACTTTCACAAGGTGAAGTCGATATGCCGTGAAATTTCAGAATTAGATCCGACAGCTGCTATTGGGGAAGCCAGGATAAAAAGAATAATTGTCCATGGTTTGAGACCCGAATATCGAGGGTTTGTTGCCGCTGTACAGGGATGGCCGACACAACCATCGCTTGTTGAGTTCGAAAATTTGCTTGCAGGTCAAGAAGCTATGGCCAAGCAAATGGGAGGAGTCTCGTTGAAGGGTGAAGAGGAAGCGCTCTACACCAGCAAAAGCAGAGGCACTTTTCAGCGGTATACTGGCAATGGATCTAAAAAGGATGGTGACAAGGTGAAAAATTACCAAGGAAAGGGAGGCCCTCATTTAGGGGGAGCTTCCAAGAATCGCGGTAATAGTAGAAAGTTCGATGGCAAGTGTTACAATTGTGGGAAGATGGGCCACATGGCAAAAGACTGTTGGACCAAGAAAAAGCCTGTTGAAAGTAATACTGCTACTTTTTGTTCGAAGGAGAATAGTGAAGATGGTTGGGATGCTGAAGCGTTATTTGCTACGGAGGAAGAAGAATTAGCTCTCACGGAAACAACACCAGAACGGATTGACTACAAGAATGATTGGATCGTAGATTCTGGCTGCTCAAATCATATGACGGGTGACAAACAGAAGTTGCAAAACCTGTCTCAGTACAATGGAGGTCGTGTGGTGGTGACAGCTGACAACTCAAGGTTACCGATAACTCACATCGGTAAGACAATAGTTACTCCTCGATATAATACTAACCAGGTGCAACTCCAAGATGTTTACCATGTCCCAGGAATGAAGAAAAATTTGCTATTTGTGGCTCAACTAACATCATCAGGCCATTATGTCTTATTTGGTCCCCAAGACGTGAAGGTTTATCGTGATGTCAAAATCACAGAAACACCAACAATGGAGGGACGACGTTTGGAATCAATTTACGTGATGTCAGTAGAGTCTGCATATGTGGACAGGACAAGGAAAAATGAGACATCAGATCTATGACACATGCGGTTAGGTCACGTTAGCTATTCCAAGCTAAGTGTGATGGTGAAAAAGTCGATGCTTAAGGGGCTTCCTCAACTAGACGTGAGAACAGACACGGTCTGTGCGGGATGCCAGTATGGTAAAGCACACCAATTACCATATGACGAGTCGAAGTTTAAAGCAAAAGAACCTTTGGAGTTGGTTCACTCTGATGTGTTCGGACCGGTTAAGCAACAGTCAATTAGCGGTATGCGGTACATGGTAACATTCATTGATGACTTCTCCAGGTATGTGTGGGTTTTCTTT